GGCTGGCGGCAGCTGCCCAGAGTCTGGGCCAGCTGTGGCACGCTGAGCAAAATGGCCTCGCGTGCCATGCTCTGGCGCACATACTGGGGATTGCTGACCCTTGTGATATGCTGTTATTTATCAGTGATATTCACTTGGCAGTTAAGTAAGCAAGATAGCTGTATCCTAAAGCAGTTTGTGTTTGCATGGCTTTCCTCTGCAGTCACATGTATAACACTTTACAGTAGCCAATGTGCAGGTGTCAAAGGATATGAAAAATTGTGCTGAGGTCTATATCAGATAAGAGAATTAGAAATTTTCTCTGCCAAATGAGAATACAGGTAGAATGTTTTGGCTGCTTTCTTATCTAATGTCCAGAAGCCACAGATTATAATATTCCTGGGAAAGCTATGAATTTGACTATCAATAATTTAGTAGATATCCTCACTTTAAGGTCACTTATTATCTTATTCATATGTTTGAAACGTCAATCAGACAGAACCACAAAGATTTATGTAATAACTCTTCTGTTGTATTGTCCACTTCCTTTTTCCTTTTCCTCTGTAAAGCTGCTGCCCGTTATGAAGAAGGAGAGTCTGAAGCAGAGAGCATTACTTCCTTTATGGATACTTCTAACCCTCTTTATCAGCTTTATGATACAGTTAGGAGCTGTCGAAATAACCAAGGCCAGCTTATATCAGAACCGTTTTTCCATCTGCCTTCCAAGAAAAAATATCCTGATTATTATCAGCAAATCAAAACACCTATTTCATTGCAGCAGATCAGGTAAGAAACAAGTATGAAGTATACTTGTTGATCTTAAGTATATACAAAATCTTGTTTCACCTCCAGAATTTTATACCTTGTAGTAGCATATATATTTATAGGAATCTTCCCTTTCACAGGTATTCTATGCAGTTTTTATCCATTAAATGCACTCTCTCTGCAACTGATATCAAAAGTAAACTCATTTGAATTATGTACTACATTCACCTTTCATATTAGTATGCACTCAGCTTCTGACTGGGCTTCAGAGATGCCTAGTTTTGTTTTTGTTTTGCTTTAAGTTTTAATTGGAATTAATGTTTCTGAAAAGTGCCACCCCTTGGTATGTTTGTGCAGCAGAAAGCAGTGCCATACAGAGCTAGGGTCTATATGTGCTAGCTCCAAAACCTCAAGCAGTACAATTAGCGCAGCTCTGTGCTTAGGTTACAATTAGTTCTTTTATTGACCAGAGCAGATTAGCCCAGCAACCAGCACTATTCTAAAGCAACTGTTTTACTTCCATTGGCTAACTCGAGGTATTTGAAGTAGCAGTTACTTTGCCATTCAGAACAGTTAATGTAGCTTTGGCGCATTGTTAACATGTTATTTTTGTATTTGGAATGGAAAGAAACTGCTGACATCTCTGTCTACTGTACATAGCAATAATGAGTATTTGTATGTCTTTGATCTAGTTCATTGAAAAGTGAAATGTAATATTTATATTAGTCTTAATTTTCAGTGGTTAATCTTTACATATTTGTATACACAAAAATGCTTACATAGGCCTATATGCATACTTAAACAGGTACAAGTTTAATTATATATTACATTCACATTATAGAGGAAGGTAAGGCATAACTGGTCCTACTAAAACTTTATATACCTCCTTTAAAGTGGTGTCCTTTCATGGCATATCTTAAATTCACGGATCAAATTTAGTGGAACTTTGAAAGTTAATGGCAGAATTAAATTTGGAATGTAAGAGACCTTGAATTACAGCTTAGTCACCTGATGAGGGGTTAGCAACCTTTGGCCTGCAGAGGTTGGATCTGGCCTGGAGCAGCTCTAGACCAGGCAGCACATGCTTGCACTGAGCAACTGGGCTCCTTCACAACTCTTCCTGCTGCTCTCATGCTTGAGCTCCCCCTTGCTACAAAAGGGCTGGGTTATCTGCAGTGGAGGAAGCACAGGCAATTGGAGTGGTGGAGGGTGGGATTTACAGTGAACTCCTAAACTAGGCCATATTGCCAGAGTAGGCTGTTAGAATCCATGAAGTTTGTGGCTGCATATTCTCTTCCTTTCATTAAATCCCCAGATTTTGAAGGGCTTAAGATGCTATGGTTTATCTTGTACTTTAGAACTTTTTTTTTTCCTTGCTTAGAAAGCATTCAGAGATTGTTTGATTCCTAAAAAGAAATGTTGTTATAGTGAGCGCTTCTTGATTAAAATGTAAATACATTTTTTTTAATGTAAGCTCATCCCATGGAGGGTTTTGTGGGCTTGACTGGAATTGTGCGGTGTTAAGTTTTTAGAGCAGATTTCAGACCATTTTGGGATGTGAGAAATAATGTTGCTCATGATGTTAGTCCTTTATAGGTTATCTTCTGGCTAGCTATAGGTAGGGACCTATTTAATTCACGGTTTCATGGAAACTGCAAAATCCAAGGTTGTCCATGAAATCTGCAAAATCAGCAACAACAAAAAAACTTAATAATAAAGTGCCTAATCCCCAGTGTGAGCCAGCAGTCTTTGCTGCTGGGAAGGGAAGGCGCTGGCTGGTGGAGTGGCATGAAGGGCAGCAGACAAGATGGCAGCTTCCTCCTCATTTTCCCCCTTCCCCCACTTCCAGGGCCTCTCCACCAATCAGTGCCAAGGGGCAAGGTCTCCCTGCCAATCAGCACTGAGGGGCAGGGCTTCCATGAAATGATCATGGAATTACACCTTCAGGCCGCGATCAACTCACAAAAATTGGTAAGCCCCCTTTCTCCCCCCACCTGTGATTTAAATAGACCCTTAGCTATAGGCATCAGAGTTGGCCTGTTTTTGAGCTGTCCTTTTGGCCTTTGGAAAGGCTCCTGACTTACTATATTGAGAAATAATATTGTATAATGGATTTGAATGCAAGCTGAGCAGAGAATACAGGAAACCCTCACTATTCACGCTGCTGGGAGCACGCAGAAAGTGTTCATGAATGCAGTGCCTTGTTCATGGATTTCACCATTCACAGGGGATAAGAGAACATATCCCCTGCAAATGGCGAGGGTCTCCTGTAATAAGATAAAGAGATCATAGCATGTAGAAGCAAAATGGGACAAAAAGGGGATAGGTTAGAAAAGAAGGTTATATTGAAGAGGATTGTTATAGTCAACAGAAAATAGATTCACTCTTTCATATTCCCCCTTAAGTGTAAGAGGGATGCAGTTCTTCTGAGTGAGGGGCACAATAAATGACTAGGAGATAAAAATCAAGAAAAACAGATAGTATGGAGATAGGCACTGGGTCAATCATGGAATGAAGAAAAAAAAAGGATATGTAGGCAGTGAAAGGATACAAGGAAAAAAACTTTTTTTTATGGTAACAAATGTAAGTTAATTTGTACTCCTTAATTTTACTGTACATCTCTGATGGACTGATTGTGTAAGTTTGTGAGAGGAGCTAGCTGTTATGAGAAATTAATATTGCTGGATAATTTGGAGTCTATAGTTACATAATTGAAAGGAGAAACAGAATCACCAAATCTGGACATAATCATATGATAAATGAGTAGTAGTTCCCCAACTGGTTTCCTATTTGGCTCCTGTGCCATTCCAGACCTTAATATTTCAAAATACCGCATCCTTCTCTAACACCAGCCAGGAGTTGCTAGAGAAGGTTTCAACAACTTGTGGTTCCATTCTCCCATGGTCTCCATCTACCTTTCCTATTCCTCTCCCAGCTGAGCAGAGAAAAGACCAGGGCTGAAGGGCCCAGCTCTGACAATGGCTGTTAGGCCAGCAAAGGGTTTACTTGTTTCTTGTAGAGCTGTGCAAAATATCGGCAGCCGTTTCATTTCGGAGGTGTTTCGGCCTCCAAAACACTAAATCCGAAACACAAACAAAACAAAACCTTCCAAAATGTTTCAGAATGTTTTGGAGGCAGGCTTGTGGGGAACCAAACTCAGAAGAGGGAAGGGGAAAAGGGGGGGAGGACTGCTCTGACACTGATATCTGTAGCTGGCCCCAGTGTCTGCGATCTGTCCCTGAGGTCCCTTCCAATTCCAGTGCTCTGGGGAAGGGATGGAGAACCAGCATATAAGACTGTGTGTGAAGCCTTTCTCTGCCTTTTGTGAGCTATCTGTCTGGAAGCAACAGTGTGTGAAAGGTACTGGCTGGCTGCAGTGGCTGGCTTCCTAGTAGTCAGTCACTTGCTAGTCTCTCTTCTTGGAAAGGATTGGATACAACTTTCCAGTATATTACAGATAGATATATTGCACATAAGATATATTTTACACACACACTAAACAGATAGAAGAAGATATATTGCATGGTAATAGGGGCAATGCCCCGAGGAAAAACTTACCCCAAAAGGAAAAGTTCCCGATCCAGCAGGAGCTGGACAAAAACCAGAAGCCCCATGGGAGCAAAACTGCAGTGGGGAAACCGCCACAGCAACGAAAGAGGGGGAAAAAAAAGAACAACAGATCCAGGAAGAGCCGAGATCAGGTCTAGCCCCGGCACGGACCTGTTTTATGGCAGCATGCCAGCACCGATTCACCTCCTGGCCTCTTAAGACAGATAAAAGCTCCACCAGGAGCAGAGCCTGGAGGACCGGAAGTGAGGCTTCCGGTGGGGCCAGAAGAGCCCCAAGGAGGAGAGAGCTCCAGAGAGGAGTAGGGGCAGCTGCCCCAGGAAGGGGGCACACGGAAAGGAAACAAGTTTGCAAGGGCTAATGTACTTACCTCAAGCCAAGTCATGGATCCCAGATGCCTCCAGACATGACTGGACTGCCAGGGACCCTGCAAAGGGAAGAGAGAGCTGGGAGTCCAGACCACAGTAATGACATAACCGAGAAGCAGAGACGTCCCTAGAAACAAGGTCAAAAGGCCAAGACAGATTACCACCATGGCTCACCTTAGAGGTGAGCAGAAGGTAACGACTTAAGGTTGGTGTAAGGCAGGGTGTAGGGGAGGCAGAGCCCCAAATTGGAAAACCGGACAAGCAAAGTTAAGGAGGGTCCCAGGGTAGGCGAGACGTAACATCTTACTCCCGACAACAAACTTACCTTTCCATCAAAGACGTGGGAGGAAAGAACCCCCTGAAGGCCTTCCAAGACAAATACTTTAACACCAAGCTATCTGGATCCCAAAGAGATGACGAGACCCGAGAAGTCCATAATGGACTTATGACCATGAGCCTGCAGTGCGATGCTGTGGCTAGTAAAGCGACCAAAACGCTGGCTTGCAACCATAGATGCTTCTCAAGCAAATCCCGGGACGTCATTCTCCCCTTGTACTCAGCCTTAGTGAGGCCGCAGCTGGAGGACTGCATCCAGTTTTGGGCTCCACAATTTAAAAAGGATGTGGAGAAGCTTGAGAGAGTCCAGAGAAGAGCCACGCACATGATCAGAGGTCAGGGAAGCAGACCCTACGATGAGAGGCTGAGAGCCCTGGGGCTCTTTAGCCTGGAAAAGCGCAGGCTCAGGGGTGATCTGGTGGCCACCTATAAGTTTATCAGGGGTGACCACCAGTATCTGGGGGAACGCTTGTTCACCAGAGCGCCCCAAGGGATGACGACTAGGTCGAATGCTCATAAACTACTACAAGACCGCTTCAGGCTGGACATAAGGAAGAATTTCTTTACTGTCCGAGCCCCCAAGGTCTGGAACAGCCTGCCACCGGAGGTGGTTCAAGCGCCTACATTGAACCCCTTCAAGAGCAAACTGGATGCTTATCTTGCTGGGATCCTATGACCCTAGCTGACTTCCTGCCCTTTGGGCAGGGGGCTGTACTCGATGAGCTTCCGAGGTCCCTTTCAGCCCTAATG